AGATAGCTGGATAGTGGATACAGAGAAAATTTTAGTTAACAGGATGACAAGCTAAATGACTTTTTTTTTTTTTTTTCATATTTCTTGTCATTAGTCAAGAAGATGACGGAACTCACTATTTCAATCAAATAGGCTGGCTGGTAAAAAGGGAAGTACAGGAACTAGGTAGACAGATAGATAGCCTTGAGTTTGAATCAGGGCTCAGACATTTATTAGCAGTGGAATCTTCAACAAGTCACTTAGCCTCTTTGGCATTAATTATTTTAAACTTGTTAAATGTGTAACAATAATAATACATTTGACAATTACAGGCTGTTGGGAGGGTTAAATTGGATATAAATATATCTAAGTGTTTGATTTGTAGAGATAATACAAGACCGTTTATTTCCTTCCTTCTCTTTCCTCACTCCTTTATAGATGAACCATTAACAACATCTTGCAATTGTATAGAGTCAAACTGAAAGAGCAGACTTGTCACTAAATGAGATGTAAGGTAGGGCTTTACAGTGTTCATGGTGAACTGTTTAGGATGTGGTGACTTATACCAGTGACTCTTAATGTTTACTGGGGTCACATACCCTGTTGGCAAACAGATGAAAACTACGAATCATTTCTCTCATAAAAAATGGCACCCATGTATATTACACTTTATATATTATATAAATTGGTTCAAAGTCTCCTAAAACTCAATGAACTGTAGGCTTTTTAAAAAAATCTCTTTTTATACTAATTCATTTCATTTTCAAATTTGTGATAGTCATTAATGTTTGAGAATAGCTGGGATCTTATAGATTTATAGATTATTTAACAATAGTTTTTATGTTTTAGTACATTATAGTTATACATAATATTAGGTTCATTTTGACATAATCATACATGCATAAAATATGATTTGTTTCACTTCAGTCCCCAGGAGTTTATACTTTCAAAGAAGTCTTCCCAGTAATGGCTATCTAGACATTCTTTGAAATGTTAAATATAACAAAGAAATTTAAACAATTTTTATTGCTTAAAAAAGTATACCAGCTCATGTTAGAGGATAAGCCTTTTCTGAAAAAATTCCATCATCTAATACCACCATGCATCAGCCCCTAATAAGTCTTTTGGTGCATTTTCCTTTGATCTGCAATATTTGGGAGCTGAATTTCAGCAATAATCATTTATCAACTTTTGTTTACACTACACAACTAAGAAGAGTAAACCCACACTGTGTACACGTCCCTGGTCATATTACACAAAGTATATTATACTCTGTAAAGAATGTATACAATAAAAACTCCGATTCAAAACACAGTTAGGGCTTTGATGGATCACAGCCAACTTCCAACCTCTTTAGGTCAAGCAAGAGGGCAACGATACTTATTTTCTTCTGCAGTCACAAACATTCCTATGGCAAGGAGTAATTAAATGGTGGGCTGTGGAGGGTAGGGTGGGTATGTAGAATAACACATACTGAGACAAGATAACTTTCATCCTGTGTCAGGTTATAAACATAAATGCCAGAGATCTCAAGATTCAGATGATGACTTGGCGATTTTCCCTGGAAATTGGAAGTGGGCTCCCTCTCTATTTTTAAAAACTTCTTATACCTTAAATGTAACACATTAAAAAACAGATAGTCAAAGTTTGGATTAGGCATTTTAAGGTCCCCTTTACCCTAATTCCTATGTTGTCTTTTACTTCATAAAACTTAAAAAAAGCTGAGAATAGGGACTGAACAAGTTGGTTTTTAGTTCATAGGTCTTTCAAAGTAAGTTATGTCCATCATTTAACAAATTAGTTATGTAGAAGAGTTTTCACTGTTACTTTCAACTTTTATATAATGTCCAGCATGTTCAAGCTGCATTAATATTTAAAACATTTCCTTATAATCTGATATAAACCCACAGACTAAAACATTTGCTGACAAGGAAAGGAAAAGAAAAATCAGGAAGAAAGCCAAGTTTAACTGTAGCCAGTGCTCACGGACATAACAAAATCAAGAAAGAATTCCTGGCATACCTAGAACTGATAAAGGAGATTAGTGTCTCATTCTTTATCTAAATGTTTAAGGTACAACTAGAAAGACACCTATTACATTTTCTAACAGGTAAATGATTGCATATAATGTGTGTTAAAAGTATTATATTAATTTAAAGAACTAGATAGATACTATGTGGAGCTAAAGAAGTTTAATATAGGGATGATATGTATGCTGAATTGGTTCAAAGTGTTTTATGGGTCATTTAGCACTTCTGGGCACATATTTGTAGTTGGATAATCTCTTTGAGACCAAAGGCTAGGGAAAGAGCTTGAGCAAATATTGGAAGCATAGAGAGCTAAAGAGAGAAGGGTGTCATGATCTGAAATTTTATATTCTCAGGTTCAAGGTCCAATGGCCAAATTCTAATACAAGGTAAAAGTATTAGTAGGTAGGGCCTCTGGGAGGTGATGAGGCCTTGGGGTCAGAGCGCTCATAAATGGGATTAGTACCCCTTCTCCATATATATATATTTTTGTAGCACTGGGACTCAAACCTAGGGCTTTGTGCACTTTACTACTGAGCCATACCCCAGCCCTGGTGCCCTTATAAGAGAGACTATAGAGCTTACTTGCTATTTCTGCTATGGGAGGTCAGAGACAAGATGGCCATCTATGAACAAGGATTTGGTCCTATCAGATAACAAATCTGCAGAATCTTGGGATTCTTAGTGCAGAATTGTCTGACAAGCCAAACCAGAACTGTGAAAAAAATTTGTATTGTTATAAGCCCCCAGCTTATGATATTTTGTTACAACACAATGAATGGACAAGGACAAAGGGACTGCCAAAATGTAAAGGATCCCAGCAATCACTACAGTATCATAAAACGTGGGAGTAGATGGAATAAAGCTTTATATTACACAGCACAAATTAATATTCAATCTAATATTAAAAGGCCAAGTAACAGTGGTATCCTGGTAAGTGTAAATGAACAAAATTGGACTATTATTTTTAAAAATAGCTGCTACGGCATGCCTTACTGTGAATCTGATCATTTTCAGCTGAAAAATACATGTGAGATTTTAAATTATGCCATGTATAAATAGCATTAGATCACTGTTTAGTGGGATATCCACAAAAATCATCTTTCATCTAGGTTTCTGAATCAAACATTACTCAGAAAAATATGTGTATATATATGTGTGTTTATGCATATATATATATACACACACACACACACATATGTATATATGTATGCACACGCGCGCTCGCACCCACACTATACAGATATAATCTTTCCTAGTTTTTTGGGTTTGTTTTATTTTATTTTATTTTGAGAGAGAGAGAGTTTAGTTTTTGGCGGACATAACATCTTTATTTGTATGTGGTCCTGAGGCTTAAACCCGGGCCGCACGCATGCCAGGCGAGTGTACTACCGCTTGAGCCACATCCCCAGCCCCAGGTTTTATTTTAAAGGAAAGAATAACAACAGCTTACATGATAGTAACTGGATATCATATTCAGATGAATATTTCTTCTAAGGATAAAAGCATTGATTTTGTGCTGAGAATATAACATTCTAAGAGTAAGATAAACTATCCTTAATATTTTCCAAAAGGTTGACAAGACAAAGTGAGAAGTAAGGATTCTTTCCGTTTCTTACATAACCTTTGAATGTGGTACATTGTCAGGGATATCTATCTCATTGGTCTCATAACCACAAAATACAATCTAGAAAGAGTTAATGATTCTTAAGAAAAGTCTTATGAGTTTCAGTGACTAAAACAACAATATTATGTTCACACATCTTGTTAAGGATATACTAAAGGCAGAAACACACAAAGTGGGGCTTTTATTTAGCTTTGGTCCACAATGTTGGCCAGTTTTCCAGTCGATACTACAACTGTTTCATTTGGGGAAGAAAATAACCAACTGACACAGTTATCATGCTATTGTAATTGTATTAAGTCATCATTCTCACTAAACATCCTAATTTTATTTTGGAAAAGAAATGGATACACTATGGAGTTTTATCAAGCTGAGATGTGAGACTTTGACCTTGGGTTGAGAGTAGGGCAGTGTGGGGGAGCAGTTAATGGTTGCTATGGGTATCAAAACAAACCATACATTTTCATTTAGATAGCATTTGATCAATGTTAAAAAAAAAACAATTTCCTTTAAATTGGAGCAATTTGCTTAAGGATATACAATGTCCTTTCCTATATCTCTGTTCATTTAAAACACAACATGGATGGTAAACTATCTTAATTTATTGCTTTAATTCTCATACGTGACACAATTGCTCTCTGGGATTAATTCAGCACATTTTAGTTTTATAATAGGTATCTTTTATGGGAATTTCTATATATGTCATGCTGGCATATTTTCTCTGGGTGCACAGAGAATATAATTCCAGTTTAGCAATTTAAGGTGCAATTTCTCTTGTGAGAGTTGGAAAAAAAAAAAGACCACCTTTGCAATGAGACAAAAGTAAGCCTTTGCCATCAGTTTCTTTCAAATGTGATACCACTAAGACTAGATTGACTTTTAAACTTGTTTTGATATAAAGCTCTTCTTATTCCCATAAACCAATAGATGTAACCTATATTGGTTTGGCTTATCAAAATAAACTCAGCAACCAGGACCAGCACAAAATTGGACTCATCCTTGCAGCTGTAGTACATATTTCAGAGACTTAGAAGCCCACTTCACTTTCTTATCTGACTTTCCTTAAAACTAATATAACTTTGCTCACAGCATATCTGGTTATGCTTGAATATACAACAGTCACTTTATTTAACCTTTAAGGAATAAGTGACAATGAGAACTACCAGGACTTAATTAAGATGCAGCTAAGAGGTCTGGGGTTGTGACTCAGCAGTAGAGTGCTCGCCTAGCATGGGCGAGGCCTGGGTTCGATCCTCAGCATCACATAAAAACAAAAATAAAATAAAGGTATTATGTCCAACTACAACTAAAAAAATATTTAAAAAAAGATGCAGATAAGGCTCTGTATAGAACCTTAATTAAACTAAGATCTTTGTAGTTCTTCTTTGCCCCATTCTGGAGAAAAGCAATGCTTTACCTAGATACCAAATGGCAGATTTGAAAGGTTTTCTAATGTATTTAATGTGGCAGCAAGGTCAAATACAAAAAGGTAAGTGGTAATTGTAATGAAACTATCTCATTATAATACCCTGTGAAGCAACTGTAATTCTAAGAAATAGTTAATGATACATAATTTATTTTCTGACTATAGGTATTTAGGTACAGACAGAGTATGCTATATTTCTCAGATCTGTTTTGTTGTCTTATATAAATTTAGACATTATATTCAATATATTTAGTCACTATATAGCAATTATTTGTATTTATATTACAAAAGATACTCTGATCCTAGTTTTCATGTCAAGACAAGTGATTCATTCTTTCTTTCTTAGAGTAGTTCAATGATTTTGCCACTTCTTATATTCAATATTGAAAGCCTTTTTTTTTTAATTGGGCTATACTTCATTTTATATTTTTAGTTTTTGGATTTCAGAGTGGTTATTTTACCAGGTCTTAATAGATGACATAAAGCTAGAAAAATTATAGGCAGTGTCTACTTTTTACAAACAAACAATTTCCAAGTCAAAATATGGATCTGACATAAAAATAATAAACATGTACAATGATAATTTGCAACTGCACTGACTAGAATTGGTACTTCTGCTTCCTTTTCACAGCACTGAACTGTGGTTTTCTTAATCTTTAAAAATAGGACTCTGCCAGCTGCAATGTACTAATTTCTTTTTTGTTGTTGCTGTTGTTGTAGAATTTTTTTTTATTGGTTGTTCAAAACATTTCAAAGCTCATGACATATCATCTTTCATACATTTGGTTCAAGTGGGTTATGAACTCCCATTTTTGCCCCAAATACAAGTTGCAGAATCACATCGGTTTACACACCCAGATTTTTACATAATACCATATTAATGACTGTTGTATTCTAAAAAGTTTTTTCTCAGCAAGAGAAACAATAAGAGAGGTAAATAGGGACGCTACATCCTGGGAACAAATTTTTACTCCTCACACTTCAGATAGAGCCCTAATATCCAGAATATACAAAGAACTCAAAAAATTAAACAATAAGATAACAAATAACCCTATCAACAAATGGGCCAAGGACCTGAACAGACACTTCTCAGAGGAGGACATACAATCAATCCACAAGTACATGAAAAAATGCTCACCATCTCTAGCAGTCAGAGAAATGCAAATCAAAACCACCCTAAGATACCATCTCACTCCAGTAAGATTGGCAGCCATTATGAAGTCAAACAACAATAAGTTCTGGCGAGGATGTGGGGAAAAGGGTACACTTATACATTGCTGGTGGGACTGCAAATTGGTGCGGCCAATATGGAAAGCAGTATGGAGATTCCTGGGAAAGCTGGGAATGGTCCACCATTTGACCCAGCTATCGCCCTTCTCGGTCTATTCCCTGAGGACCTTAAAAGAGCATACTATAGGGATACTGCCACATCAATGATCATAGCAGCACAATTCACAATAGCTAGACTCTGGAATCAACCTAGATGCCCTTCAATAGATGAATGGATAAAAGAAATGTGGCATTTATACACAATGGAGTATTACTCAGCACTAAAAAACGACAAAATCATGGATTTTGCAGGGAAATGGATGGCATTAGAGCAGATTATGCTAAGTGAAGCTAGCCAATCCTTAAAAAACAAATGCCAAATGTCTTCTTTGATATAAAGAGAGCAACTAAGAAAAGAACAGGGAAGAAGAGCATGAGGAAAAGATTAACATTAAACAGAGACGAGTGGGGGGAGAGAAAGGGAGAGAGAAGGGAAACTGTATGGAAATAGGAGACCCTCATTGTTATAAAAAATTACATATAAGAGTTTGTGAGGGGAAAGGGAAAAAAAGGGAGAGAATTAAACAACAGCAGATGGGGTAGAGAGGGAAGATGAGAGGGAAGGGGAGCGGGGATAGTAGGGGATAGGAAAGGCAGGAAAGGCAATGTACTAATTTCAACATAGAAGAAAAGCTGCTACTTGCTTGGAAATCAGTTTAAAAAAAAATCCTTAGAGGCAAAAGCAACATGAAAGTTTCTCCACAAGTGTCTCACCAAAAATGTTGGATTCAGGTGAATTGGTGATAGATAGTGAGATAGGCTCAACATATCACACCCTAGAGTCTATTTTTTAAAAATTGGGGCAATATGGATAACATAAACTTTGACATTTTAACAATTTTTAGGTGCAAGATTCAGGGTCATTAAGTACATACATGATGCTATCCAATCATCAACACAATTTATTTCCAAAGTTTTTCCATCATTCCAAATAGAAACTCTATATTCATGAAAGACTTATTCCCATTCTTTCCTCTTCTAGCCACTGGTAACCATTAATCTACTTTCTGTCTCTGAGTTTCACTTATTTTATATAAACTGAATCATAAGAATTTTTGTCCTTGTGATTGGTGTATTTTATTTAGCCAGGGTTCATTCATGTTGTAGCATGAGTCAGAACTTCATTATTTCATGGCTGAATATTATGTTATATTTATATAATATATATTAATTCATTAATCTATTGATAGACACTTGGGTTTGCCTATCTTTTGATAACTATCAATTCTGTTTTCCACAATGGCAATACTAATTTATATTTCTTCTGACAGTATGCTACTATGAACATTGGTATACAAATATCTATTTGTGTCCCTGTTTTCAATTGCTGGGTTGAATGATACATCTGTTGTCTTTCTAGAGAACTTGATACAAGTTTTCTGTGGAAGTTACATCACTTCATATGTTCATTGTAGCAATTCACCAGTGTTCCAATTTCTCCTTTTTTTTTTTTTTTGCCAATTCTTGAGTATGAAGTGGTGTCTTATTGTGGTTTTGATTTACATTTCTCTAATGACAACTACATTTTGTATCTTTCTCCAATGACAGCTATTATGAGTATCTTCATATGTGCTATTGGCTGTTTGTATATCTTCTTTAGAGAAATATCTACTCAAGTTCTTTGTTCATTTTTAAATTTAATTATCTTTCTGTGGTTATATTGTAGAAGTTGTTAGTATAAATACTACTGATTTTTGAACAGATTTTTGTATTCTGATATTAAATACTTATCAGATGATTTATAAATATTTTTGCCCATTTTGTGCACTATCTTTTCACTTACTTGATAGTTACTTTGAAGCACAGGTTTTTATTTTTAGTGGTGTAAATTTTATTTATTTATTTTTGTCTGTGGTTTTGGTGTCATGTTTAAGAAACAGGGCCAAAACCAAAGTCACAAAGATTTATCTCCATTTTTTTCTGCTAAGAGTTTTTATAGTTTAAGCTCTTAAATTTAAGTATTTCATTCATTAAATTTTTTTTTTTTTTTTTTTGCATAAGATTAAGAGGGTCCAACTGTGTTCTTTTGCCTTGTATATTTAGTTGTTTGAGTACCATTAATTGAAAAGACTACTGTTTTTTCATGGAATAGTCTTGGCACCTTTGTCAAAAATTGATTTTCCATAGATGTGAGGGTTTATTTCTGGGCTCTCAATTTAGTCCTACTGGTCTATATGTCTATCATTATGTCTGTATGAAATTGTTTTGATTCCTCAAGGTTTGTATTAAGTCCTGAAGTTGGAAAATGTGAGTCTTCTGATTTGTCATATTTCTTCAAGATTGTTTTGTCTCTTCTGGTCCCTAGAAATTCCATATGAATTTTAGAATGAGCTTTTCCATTTCTGCAAAAAACACTGTTGGGATTTTAAGAGTGCATTAAATGTGCACATTGCTTTGAATAGCAATGTCATCACAACAATGTTAATTTGTTTTTCTGTGCCTGGCTTATTTCACGTAACATAAGGATTTCCAGTTCCATTCATATTGTTACAAATGACAGTATTTCATTTTTTTTACTTAATCATATTTGATTGTGTATATGTACCACATTTTCTTTATCCATTCATCAGCTGATGAACACTGTTTTTATTTCTTGACTATTGTCAAAAGTGTTACAAATGAACACGAACATGCAGATGTCTCTTTGACATACTGATTTCATTTCCTTTGGCTATAATACCCAGGAGTGAAATTTCTAAACCATACAGCAGTTTTTTGAGGAACCTCCATACTGTTTTCCACTATGGCAATACTAATTTATATTTCTTCTGACAGTATGCAAGGGTTGCCTTTCCTCCACATACTCACCAGCACTTATTATCTTCAGTCTTTTTGATGGCAGACATTCTTACTGGGTGAGATGATGTCTCATTGTGGTTTTGATTTGCATTTCCTTGATAGTTAGTGATGCTGAACAATTTTTCATGTACCTGTTGGTCATCTACATATTTTCTCTTGAAAAATGTCTATTTAAGCCCATTGCCCACTTTAAAAAATATTTTTATTTTTGGCATTGGGTTATATATTCTGGATATCAGCTTCTTATTAGATGCATAGGTTGCAAATCTTTTCTCCCATTCTGTAAGCTGTCTCTTCACTGTTGGTTGTTTCCTTTCCTATGTAGATGTTCTTTGATTTGATGCAATCACCTTTGTCCATTTTTGCTTTTGTATCCTATGCTTTTGGAATCTTATCAAAAAAATCCTGAACCACCAATGTCCTGAGATATTATCCTGTTTTCTTCTTCTGTAATCCATTTTGAATTAACTTTTGTAACTGGTAATAGGGATAGATTTTCATTCTTCTGTATGTAGATGTCTAATTTCCCCAGCACCATTTATTAAAGAAACTATCCCTTCTCTAGTGTGCATGTTTACACCATCATTGAAGATCAACTGGCTGTGGAAGTGGCAGTTACCTTCTAGGATCTAGGATCTCTATTCTGTTCCAATGGTCTATGTGTCTGTTTCTGTGTTTTTTCTTTTTTGATCACGGATTTTATTTATACATAGTCACCTTGATACAAAAAAAGGTATGTGGCAACTTACAAAAAATAGATAAAATAGAATAAAAATAAAGTGGTCAGGGTAAATGTACAATCAGAAAATGGGTCCAGCAGGAGACTCAGTACAGTTGTTAAAAATGATCTCAAATTTGACTTTAAGCTTCTAGCAGCCACAGCTAAGAAGAAAACATATTAGTTACAAGATTCCTGACAACAGTTACTTTGGTGTTTTGGCTTAAAATAAGATGTGAATCAAACCTTGATTTTTAAAAAAAATTTTATTCATTTGTTTATTTTTTTTGTTCTTTTTTATATATACATAACAGTAGAGTATATTTTGACATACTATACATACATAGAGTAAAATTTCCAATTCTCGGGATTGTACATGATGTGAAGTTACACTGGTCCTGTATTCATATATGAACACAGGAAAGTTATGCTATCATGCTATTTTGATTACTAAACCTTTGTAGCATATTTTGAAATCAGTCATGGATCCTGATTTGTTCTTTGTGCTCAAGATGGCTTTAGCTATTCAGTGTTTGTGTGTGTGTGTGTGTGTGTGTTTTTCCATATAAATCTTAGTATTTTTTGTGTGTAGTTCTGGGAAGAATGTCATTGGTATTTTGATAGAAATTGTAGTAAATCTGTATATTACTTTGGGTAGTATGGACATTTTAACAATATTGATTCTTCTAATACATGAACACAGATTTCCTTCAACTTTGCGTCATCTTTAGTTTTTTTTTTCAGTAGTGTTTTATAATTCTCATTGCAGACGTCTTCAGGTATTTAGCTCAATTTATACCTAGTTTTTTTTAAATAGCTGTCATATGTGGTTTTGCTTTCCTGAGTTTTGTTTCAGATAATCTGCTATTGGCATATAGCAACACCAGTGATTTTTGAATGTTGATTTTGTATCTTGCAACTTTGCTGAATTCGTTAATTAGTTCTAAGAGCTTCTTTCTTATTTTGGGGGTGTTTTATATATGATCATATATATTGCAAAATAGTGATTGCACATAGTGACAGGTTCATTTCCTCTTTTCCAATTTGGATACCTTTTATTTTGTTCTTCTGCTTGACTGATCTGGCCAGGACTTCCAGCAATGTGTTGAATAAAAGTATGGAAGTGGGCATCCTTTTGTTCTAGATTTTAGAAAGTTTTCAGCCTTCCTCCCTTCAGTATGTCAGGTGTTGGCTTATTATAAAGGGCCTTTATTATGACACAGAGGTACTTTACCACTGAGCTACATTCCCCAGTCCTTTTTATTTCAAGGCAGGGTCTCACTAACTGGGTTAGGGCCTTACTAAACTGCTTAGTAAGGCCTTGAAATTGCAATCCTCCTGCTTCAGCTTCCTGAGCTACTAGGATTACAGATGTGTGCCACTGTGTCTGACAAGGCATGTTTCTATACCTAATTTGTTTAGCATTTTTATTATGAAGGGATGTTGAATTTTGTCAAATGCCATTTCTATATCTATTGAGAAAAATCACATGGTTTTTGTCCTTGATTCGGTTGATGTGGTATGTCACATTTATTGATCTATGGATATTGAATCTTGCTTATATCCCTGAGGTGAATCCCACTTAATAATGGGAAATAGCCTTTTAAAATATGCTATTGGATTTGTTTTGCTAATATTTTGTTGAGAATTTTTGCATCTATATTCACAAGACATTGGTCTGTTGTTTTCTTTTCTGGTCTTTGTATCAATGTAATGCTGGCCTCATAGAATGCATTTGAAAGAATTCTTTCCTGTTAGGTTAAGGGTCATATGTTTTCTCTCATATGTGGAAACAAGAGAAGAAAAAAAAAAAAAAAAGAAAGGTGGAGGGGCACGGAATCTCATGAAAATCAAAGGAAGATCAGTAGAGAAAGGCCCCAGCTGAGGGAAAGGGGAAATACTGGTAAAAAAAAATATTGGCCAAATTATATTGTTAGATTGTGTGCATGTATGAAAGTGACAACAAATTCCACAATTATGTACAACTATAATGCACCAATTAAAAAATTCCTTCCTCTTCTTTTTTTTTTTTTTTTTTTTTTGAGAACTACCATTAGTTCCTCAAATGTTTGGAAGAATTTATCAGTAAAGCTATCTGTAGAAAATGTTTTTTAGTGATAATTCCTTCTGGGTACTTGTTATCAGATCTAGTTCTTCATAATTCAGTCTTGGTAAAGTTTGCAAGTAGGAATTTTTCCATTTCTTCTAGGTTATTGAATTTGTTGGCATATTATTCATAATAATCTCTAATAAACTTTTGTGTTTCTGTGGCATCAGTTGTAGTACCTTTTAATCTGATTTTATTTCATTCTCATCTCTTTTTCCTAGTCTAGGTAAGGGTTTGTCTATTTTGCTTATCTTTTCAGCAAACTGGCTTTTTGTTTCATTGATATTTTGTAGTTTTTTAAGTCTCTATGTCATTTATTTCTGCTCTGATTTTCACTAATGCTTTCTTTCTACTAATTCTGGTTTGTTGCTGTTTTTCTAGTTCCTTGACATGCAGTGATAGTTTTCTGTCTTTTTGATGTAGGCATTGATTGTTAAAATGTCTTCTCTTAGTACTACTTTTGATATATCCCATAGTGTTGGTATATTGTGTTTCCATTTTCATTTGTTTCAAGATTTTTTTATTGGTATATTATCATTATACATAATAGTGGGATTCAGTATGCCATTTTTGTACAAACACATAATTTGACCACTTCCCTAGTACCTTCTTTTTTCAAACACACCCCAATGCCTGGGTTTACTCTCTGCTGATCTCCCTTTGATTATTTTTAATTAGTGCATTAATATATAAAAGTGAAATTTGTTGTGGTATAATCATACTCATCTGGCAATAATTCACTGCTTAATGTTGGGGGATGGGTAACAGAGGCAGGCCTTTGGTTGGGTACACCTGGCTTCATAGCTGCATTGTGTCAGGAGAACGACAGGTGTGCCCTTGGCACATGCAAGCATGGAAATGGTATAGGTCAAAATTTATATGTCTTGCCAGCACAATGATCTCTCTAATGCCAGGCCTGGTCCATAGGTTCTGTGAGCTGTGACCTGTGTACAGGGCCTTTCTTCAGTTTCTGCTGCATGCTGGGTATCACTTGGTGGGCCTGGCATTGAGCTTCAAGACAATGTCTTGTGCTAGCTTTCATATCTGGCTCCCCATCAGTTGTAGCCTTGTTTCCTGCTCTGCTACCCAAGGCAATGCCTAATGCAGTTTCAGGGGCTCAGTCCATGAGTATTGGAATGGTGGTTGAGGTCAAAGGGCTTTATCCAGCAATGCGTGTCATCATGGCAAGCCTGGTAGTGGATGTAATTCTGTCTCCTTCACCATTGGGCTGCTTGGAGTTAGGGGAAAGACTTCTGTGGGTAATTCTTTCTTTCCTGCCTTATTCAATAACATTTTCATTTTGTTATACTAAAAGCAGGCACTATGGTCTCTCTCCCAATTTCCTCAGCTCTTGTGATGGTGGTTTGGTTCATGCGTAGCTTTTCAACATGATGTGCCTACGGGAAGATGATCAATAAGAGGATCTTACTCAGCTGCTTTCTCGCTGTGCCCCTCAGTAAATATAAATACAACTGATCTTTTTTTTGCATGTGTTTTTTTTTTTTTTTTAGTGTGTTGATTTTGTTATCTTCAAACTTTGCTGGATTCATTTATTCTAATAGTCTTATATCTGTGTGCGTGCATTCTTGGAGTTTTCTCAATATAAAATCATGTCTTATGCAGAGTAAGCTTTACTTCTTTCATTCTGTATTGGGTTGGACAATGTCCCTCTAAAATGCATGTTTTTTCTTAGGATATCAGAATGTAACCTTATTTGGAATAGGGTAGGGCCCTATATGAGGTCATACTGGAGCAGAGTGGGCCCTTAATTTAACTGGCATCCTTATAAGAAAGAGAAGAAATATTGAGATAGACTACACTGAGAGAATACCACCTGATGACAGCCAAGAGATTATATAGCTACAAATCAAGGAAAAACAAGTATTGCTGGTCATGACCAGAAGCTAGGAAAAAGCAAGAAATGTTTCCACTCGGAGTCTCTGAGGAAGCATGCCTCTGCTAACACCTTGATTTTAGCCTTCTAGTTTCTAGAATTATGAGAGAATAAATTTCTCATGTTTAAAGCCATCTAGTTTGTGGTAAAAGTAACTTATATTCCAGTTTGAAAAAAATTATTATCTTGCCTTATTCCTCTGGCCAGAATAAAAAAAAAATATTTTTCAAGACCTTCCAATAAGTTGAGGAAGAGGAAACACTTTCAAATTATGCTGTGCCAGCATTAGTCTGATACCAAAGTCAGATAAAGAAAAGAAACTATCGACTAACAGTCTATTTATACTGGTGCAAAAATCTTAAAGGAAATATTAGGGAGTATATTTAGCAGTATATTTAAAGGATTATAGACCATGACCAATTGGAGGTTATGCTAGGAATACAAGGTTTAACATTGACAAATATCAATTGTTATAATAGACTACATTAATAGAAGGAAGTGAAGAAAACATTTAATTGTCCATAATATGAAATCAGTACTTGACAAAATTCAATACTGTTTAAGGCCAAAAACACTGAATAAACTAGAAACAGAGGGGAACTTCCACAACATGATAAAAACCACATATGAAAAAAACAAGCTAACATCCTACTCAATGGTGAAGATTGAAAGCTTTTTTCCTGAGGTTAGGAAGGAGACAAGGATGTCCTCTTTCACCACTTCTATTCAACACAGTATAGTTTCTACTTGTTTCTTTTTCTTATTGCTTGTTTTTTGTTATTTCTGTGGTGGGATGAAAGATTAGGGCTGCTTACTCTGTTATTTTGTTGATGTACTCCCAAATTCGAAGCTTTTTAGTAACAACATACATAAAATAGCATTCATTAAATTCACACATATGCAAATAACAGTATTAGAGAATAAAATTAATAGCTGTTGTTAACTGAGTGATTACTAGTATCAGACTCTTCAATAAACTTTATATGCCTAACTCAAAATCTTCCAAAACATGCTGTGAGGTAGTTATAATTCTAATTTTCTTTTTATAATTGGCAACTTAGGTCATATTATTAACACAAATTAACAAAACTAGTAAGAAACAGAACAGGGCAACTAATCTAGACTGAACAACAACAACAACAAAAATCCATGTGTTTAAATACTTAATAAACACTTGTGATAAACTTACAAAGAGATTAATTACAAAAGTGTAGGTGGGATGAGACCCACAGGGACAGTGAAGTTATAGTAAAAGCAGAGCTACTGCCACCTCTAGAGCCAAGGGGTATTGACCAGGGGCTAATTCAAGAGTTGTAGAGAGAAATGTTATCTTTCAGTAGAAGAACACAGCCAACCTGAGATAATTTTTTTAAAAATATTTTTTTAGTTGTAGATGGACACAATATTTATTTGTTTATTTATTTATTTTTATGTGTTATTGAACCCAGTGCCTCATGCATGTGAGATGAGCTACAACCCCATTTTGACAGAGGTTTTAGGGGATAAATATCCTGATCCCTCTCCCTCCCATAATCTATCAGACCTCCCAATTGGCTGAACAACTAGAATCCAGAATACATGAAAGTTGGCCCTGACAGGTGAGGGGTGACAAATGGTGGAGAATGGATGTGTGATGGGAAGTGGGGAAAAGACTAAGATATCCAGAACAACCACGAATACTCAATCAATATGAATTCCAATCAATATGCTTTAAATTAAGATGCTTCTAATTTAGTGGGGAATTTTGGTAAATTAATACAGAGCTGAACAGTTGATAAAAATATGAAACAGTACAATAAATATCTAAAGTTCTCTTCAATTCTATGATCACAAAAATTATTAAAAATACATTTATAAACAAATATACAAAACTGCTTATCAAAAATGATTTCCTGATATAGTTCAGTGGTAGCATGTGCAAGGCCCTAGGCTCACACCCCAGCACTACAAAGGAAAAAAATAATGATGATTTCCTGTTGTTGGATTGAAGTGTTAATAGCTATGCATATGATTTTTTTTCTGTCATCACTGTCTACAAATATGAGTCAGAATGGAGGATGTGAAGAAGGAACTGTTTGATAGCACCTGGCTTCTGATAAACATAACAGTGATTTATTTATTTAGAATGTGATAGTTCTTTATTATTTGACATATATTTTTATTATTTCATCTGAATACTCATGCTACCAGGTATCCTTCATATGCTGAACTTCAGTGTCTTGTATATAATACAAGATAAATATTTTTAACTTTGTGTTTAATGACATGAGTTGTCTACAGACACACATATATAATATACATACATGTACATATAAACACACACATGTGCATATACACATACACCTTTTCACTTTAATGGTAAATTTAGAATAAGCACAACTTGAGGTTAATATAATGATTAGGATGTTTAGGAGCATTTAGAGGCTGGGTGGTACCCTTATTCTTTCTGTCCAGGGAAGTACAGGTTTTTATTTGACAAATTTGGGAAGGCTCAGTCGTGTTCTTTCTTTTGAGAAAAACTGCCCGGAGGGAACAACTGCCTTTACTGTTTTCTCAGGAGCATCTTTTTTCTTCTTTTTAGAAAAGGGGCCTTCAACCAGTTCAACATTGCCATACCTAGATATGTTCTCTGCCTACTTCTGGGTGTTTTTCCCCATCCTGTTTAGCTCTCATATTAAGCTATAGTCTCTAACATGTCCTTTATTAAAAACGTGATATTTTTGGCCTTTATATTTACTGTTTTATTTTTCAATTTGCTTATAATATAGCCATGGGAGAGCAAGGCCATTTTATTGTTTCAAATATTTCTCAAATCTGCAAGTAGATATCCTTCCTGACTTCCTCTTCATAAAAAAAAAAGAGTCTCTAATAACCGAAACTCCCAAACCTAGTAAATTCTACTTATTAGCTTTCAGAGCCTACACTCTAGCCCTGCTATTTTTCCACAATGGAGGATAGCTACATGTTTGCAATTTCAGAAAGAAATTAACAAATACCGCCCCCAGCACCACACATGCATGTATGCATGTGCACACACACATACATGCACACAAATCCCTCAAAAACCTGTGCTGTCATATTAATTTGTTTTTTGCTACTCTAATACCTGAGTCTGGCTAATTTTATTTTATAAAGAAAAGTTTAATTAGCTCACAATTTTGGAGTCTGATGTCTAAAAAGCATAGTGTCAGCCCTAGTGAGTGCCCTAGGAATGTGTGTTAGAGTAATAGATCACATTTCAAAGTTGGAGTTGGAGACTCAGTAGGATCCCATAATCCTTTCTTTCTAAGGGCATGATCAAAGGACCCTCCCACTAGTTCCCACAATTTTTTTTTTTTTTTTGTGTGTGTGTGTGGTGCTGGGGATTGAACCCAGGGCCTTATGCATGCAAGACAAGCAGTCTACCAACTTAGGTATATCCCCAGCCCCTAGGTCCCATATCTTAAAGGTCAGACCTCTCACTATCACCACACTAAGACCAAGTTAATATATATGAACTTTTGACAAATGGCATCTAAACAACAGAAGTTAACTTACTATGGGTCCTCATGTTGAAAACTAAGGGAAAAAGAATCTAGACAGATCTTCAAAGGTCATTTCATTTATGAAGAAACATGCTTTTAGACATCCTACATGATAAACAGGTAAATAACTCATCATATATGCATATAACATTTCTAAATATACTTACCTCAGCTGTGTGTTTTGCTACATGGCCCACGATAACAATGACCTTTCCCTTGAAGTTCTGAAGCATAGTGGTGTAAGGGCCCTGGGTAAGCTCTCCTTCTGCAGTGAATGCAGCACTGAATGGAATGTTGATGCTGCCTGAAATGTGACCTCGAACAAAACTGTATAGGTTAATTTAAGGAAAACATTTTTTTGTGTGTGCAGACTTGAGTGTCTCAAAGAACCAGAGGTAACTGGTTTGCAGAGATAGTACCAAACATCTCCATGCTCACATGAATATTTTATTAAGTGAATTAAGTACCTCGAAGGGTAATAAAAAAAGTTAAATCTGAAAATGAGGTAGAAAAGAAAAAGAAAGACGACTAGCCAAGGACGTAATGACATTCTTCCTCCTTAAATGAATTGTGAAATCGATCCTGATGCAGCAAAGTGATGTTAGTCATAAGGGTTGTACAATATTCACACCTTTCAGTTCATTATTACCTCTGTGCTTTATTTATTTTTTTGTACCAGGGATTGAACTCAGGGGCACTCAACCCCTGAGCCACATCTCCAGCCTTTTTTATTTTGAGAAAGAATCTCACAAAGTTGTTTAGGACCTCTCTACATTGCTGGGGCTGGTTTAGAACTTGTGATCCTCTTGCCTCAGCCTCCCAAACTACTGGGATTACAGGTGTGTGCCACCATGTTTGGCTACTGTAATTAGAGTCTCAGGTCTAATGTGATACTGCAAAAGCCTATTCATTTTAGGCAAGTCATTGCTAAATGGGACTCAGGATTATAACAGGTAATTAGCACTAGTTGGAAACACTTTTATTGTTGGTTAGTTTCTCAAGAAAACTTATCTCATGTTTTCATTACTTCCAATTTTATGTTCTCTGAATACTGAAGGTAGTGATGTTTTATTGTTTTTATACTCAAGAAGGGTTCTGATGGTCTTATTGACTATTAGGAATTAGGGGATCCATTAGCTTAAAATATTTAGAAATGTCATAAGATCTTAAAGAAAAAATATATGTTCCAGTAAATAATTAAAAAGTACAATTGAGATGGGCATGGTGGTGCACACCTATAATTCCATCTGCTCAAGAGGCTGAGACAGTAGGCTCCCAAGTTCAAAGCAAGCCTTAGCAATTGCGAGGTGCTAAGCAACTCAGTGAGACCCCATCTCAAACAAACAAACAAACAAACTAGGGCTGGGGATATGGCTCAGTGGTTGAGTACCCCTGAGTGCAATCCCTGGTACCTCCCCCCCCCCCCCAAAAAAAAAAGTATAATTGAATAAAATGGAGCCTTGGAAAATAAAAGGTGATTCTCTGTATAGAATTATAGAACAGAGAAAGATTTTCTTAAATACTCATTAATCAAATAAGTCTTCAAATAAAACAGCTGTGAACATTGCTCTAAAAGAAATGTATATGATACCTGAATAAAAGTTAACGAGGCAAAGGGATGACATGGAAGTGGAATAGGGTGTGATAACTGAAAGATCTGGAAAATAACAAGAAAAAGAGAATAACAACTCCTAGGGAGAAAGGAGAGCTGTGTGACCTGGGAGGGCCAGAAGGGCATACAATGGGCCCTGGGCTGTGGACTTTCACCCTTTCCCAGCAACAATGGGTTTTGAACTTTTGCAACTGTTTTCCTGATTTAGGATTTGAACTTACACAAATGTTCCTCCTGACTGCCCAACCGATTCAAATGATTCAAATCTCACTTTTTGCGATCCAAATCTCACTTAAACACTATAAAAATCAGACCCCTCCTGTAATCATTCACCATTTTCTTCTCTGAAAATGTGCCATTCTACGGCTTAATAAAGAAAGCTTGCTGATCTATTGAGGTTTGTTCCCATTTATGTTATTTTTGCTTTCAATAACAATTTAGGCAGAAATTTTTGTTTTATAGTGGGAAGATACATGGCCAATAAAGAGAAAGGCAGGAAGGCCACTGGCAGTGAAATTTAGACAACATGGAGGAGTATAGGTATGAGGGGCCTGGAAAAGGAGGGAGGGGCCAGATACACAGGGCCTTGTTGATAATATTGGACTTTATTCTAAGAACAGTGAAAAAGGGTTTTAGGCAGAAAAGCTAAGTACTACATTTGCATTTAGGAGACTCTGTGGAGAAAAAAAGAGGAGTAAATATACAGACTAATTTATAAGAAATTTAGGCAGTATCTTTTCCCTTTCTTGATTAGTGATGAATACCATGAAAGGAATTTGATGTGTTTAATAGTCATTTTCTCAAACTTCCACTTTCGTTATGTAAATTAATAGTTTTAAAACATTATGACACAAGCAAGTAATATTTTCCCCCAAAATTCATCACAGAGAAGGGAGAAAAATTGGAATTATTTATTGAAATGAGAATTTTTCAATAACCCAAGAGTTTGTAGTCATCTTTTACACTATTTTCTTTCTCTCTCCCTTATACTTTTCCTTTCTGTCATCAATGAAGAGTTGAAAAATTCCAAGCTTTAGTTCTCTAGAATGATGGGAAATAACATGTGTGAGGCCCAGGATCCAATCCCCAACACTGGAAAAAAAAATGATGGTGGAGACTGATAACATTTCATATATCTTAAATTTGCAGTTCAGCTGCTACTTCATTGCTTTTTTTTTTTTTTTAAAGAAAAAGTTTGGCATTAATAATGAGAGAAACAACCATAAAATAGGTTCAGAAAAAATGAAAAGATGGAATCAACATTGGAATTTCTGTGTATGTTGTTTAGTTAGAGTCTTCTAGCATTTGCAGAGAATTCATAACATTGGGAAGAATACCCTTAGACTTTATAAGCATTAGTTTCTCAAACATTTATAATTATTCAATACTCTCAACTGTAGTTCTCATGAATAGTAAAGACTTTACCCATGAATACAATTATCCTGACAGTACTTAAAAAAAAAAGATAATACTTTTGTTTTTAGCAAAGGTATATCTTAAAATAAAAATTATGATAACCAAACCAAGAACCTGACAACTCATTTGTTCTCAGCAAACAGATCTATATCTGTCAGGTCTGAATCAATTGCTAGAGATAGTTTCTGTGTTTATGAAACAGCACTTATCAAGTGTGAACATCTTTTCTTTCTAGTGCTTTCACAGTAGCAAAAGCAATACAAATCTATACTAGTCAACTGCTGTGGCAGAAATGTTTATATTACCTGCTTGCTCCTCACTGTGTTTGAAAGAGCCCCAGCCACTGCCCTTGGTGAAAGGGTGAGCCCAGGCTGTCATGTTTGTATTAGATAACCCTGCCACCACCATGGCTGACAGGATACTGGGGAGGGAGGGTGAAGGTAGACAGATAGCTGTTATAGGCAGAGCCAATCCAATTCTTTTCCTTGAAAATCAGAAACAAAGGACAATGCTCAGGCTGTGTTAAGCTTTACAACGGAAGGTCATGTTGAGTACCTCTTGCATAAAATTTGTTCAGCCACATATTAGAAATTACAAGTCCTTTACTCTGAAGAAAAATTGTTGTAAAGCTAAATTCTGTAAATATTGGGTTTAAAAAGTAACCATGAATTTGTGGTTTCACTCTCATTTATTTTTTTAAAGTTTGTCTAAACTGCCTTTTAGTCACTAGAAGTATGTCATAACTTGTTATTGTCCTAGAATTTACTGTTGGTTATGCTTTATGTTTTTTAAAAGTATGGATTAAATGCTAAAATGCTTGATAAAATATGATGGCAATAAAATTGTTGGGAAGAGGAAAGTTAATATCCAAAACATAAAATTACTTAAGACCTTTGTTTCGTTATACTTTGGAAGACAAGACACAGAAGAAATAGCATTAACTAATAAGTTCCCTTATTCTTAGTTTAGAATCAAAAAGTCCTGGAAAACATCTGAGCACTCATCCAAGAATCTTCTTTGTCATGAAACTTCTAGCACCTAAAAGACTAAGCATGAATGATTACAGACAAAGTTGTTGAACCTCCAAGTTTTCTATCCTTAACAGCATGACTGGTAAGCAGCAGAGGAGAATGAGATTGGCCTAGTTACACATTAGTACAGCCTCATCCAATAGTTTTTTTTTTTTTGGTTTGTTTGTTTAAATTAGTTGGATAATGAAGAAGACAACTTCCGTCATTTAAGAATCCTTTGTTTTCTTCCTTAAAAATTTAGTTTCACTGCTTACAATTCAGATTCTTATGTGAAAGACATAATAAGAGGAAGCAGAACTTTTTTAGGTAATTTCTAAATATCTTAAAGAAGATGACCAGATTATATTGCAAAGGTATGTAGTTGAATATTCTTTTCCCATATTTTTTGCAGGGGATATATTGGGACTAAACCTAGGGATACTTTACTACTGAGCCATATCTCTGGCTCTTTTTATTTTTTGATTTGAGACAAGGTCTCATTAAGTTGCTTAGGGCCTCACTAACTTGCTGGGGCTAGCTTTGAATTTACAATCCTTCTGCCTCAGCCTCCCAGTTGCTGGAATTACAACCTCCCACCATACCCAGCTACTTTTGAGTCCTTCATAATCACAATAAAATACTGTGCATATTATGTATTTAAAAAAGAAGCAAAGTGCATATTTTTATGTATTTTATATTAAATTAGAATAGTAAAATAGAACACAGTGTTTCATATTTGGCAACTTCAAGTGATCATTCCTGGGCTAAATCTGATAAGGACAGCAAAAGGACAGAAAATACGCTGCTGGGAGCCATTAGCCAAGTAGGTATGACAATTTCCTTGCCAGCGTACCCCATGTTGCTGACATGTTGCAGTGACATTGAATGTAAGTGACCTTGCTCAAGGACCAAGGCAGATTAGGGTGTTCCCGGTTTTAAGATAATCTTGTTTAGGGCGTTCCCAGTTTAGGTTCCAGGTTTAAGGTTTAAGATTATTCCTGCTGGGAATAGGGCGTATCCTGCTGCCTGAGTTCCCCTTGAGTTCTCACGGGATTCAGACAGTATATTTTGGAGATAGAAGCCCAGTGGAGGTAAATTTGGGAGAGAAGGTGGATTTGGGAAGAGAACGTGGATTTCCCCAGAACGTGATTGTAGACGGCTGGTGTGAGTTCGGGAATAAAGAGTTGCTGTTTGAATCTACAAGCTGTGTGGTGGCTCGTGATTGTGTGCCCAGCCAGACTGCGGCATTTGTGCCCAGCCAGACTGCGGCAATACGCATTGATAAGCTC